AGACGAGGCTCTTCCAGTACTAAGCTTGTACTACAATTGAGCACCATCCAGCCAGCATCGGACAGGAGACACTTCTAGCACCGACATCATCCCGACAGCATCCGAGACGAGGCTCTTCCAGTACTAAGCTTGTACTACAATTGAGCACCATCCAGCCAGCATCGGACAGGAGACACTTCTAGCACCGACATCATCCCGACAGCATCCGAGACGAGGCTCTTCCAGTACTAAGCTTGTACTACAATTGAGCACCATCCAGCCAGCATCGGACAGGAGACACTTCTAGCACCGACATCATCCCGACAGCATCCGAGACGAGGCTCTTCCAGTACTAAGCTTGTACTACAATTGAGCACCATCCAGCCAGCATCGGACAGGAGACACTTCTAGCACCGACATCATCCCGACAGCATCCGAGACGAGGCTCTTCCAGTACTAAGCTTGTACTACAATCCTCTGTTCTTTGCTATCAGTAATTACTGCATTCGGCCTTGCACCCGCGAATCGTGGTCGTGATAATCTCCTAGGGGTCAGAATTGCACTACCTCGACATGCTACAGGATAGCTCAGGGGGTAGTGCCACACTCTTGACGGATAGTGCCGAGGTTCGATTCCCTCCCCCGTCATTTTTGTGTCTGAAGGATTACTAACGCCTGTCTTAGAAAAGATCCCGCCTTGTCCTGGGCTTCCTCGCCGCCCATGGCGGCACTCAGCCGCCCATGGCGGCGAAGCGAAGAAGCACTCCCACGTCTTGTCTGCCTCCTCAGTGAGTGTGTGTGAGTGGTGTCTGTGTTTGAGTGCTCCGGTGGGTCTGTCTGAGTGTGAGTGTGAGTGTGAGTGTGAGTGTGAGTGTGTGTGTGTGGCAGCCTGTTGAAGCGAGGCGCAAGGGCCTCTTCTTGAGGCTGCCTGTCTGTGGCGGAGCGGGCAGATTGTTGACAGCTTTCAGAAGCAAAGCACTTGCAGCAAATGCCAGAATCTTGGAACATCATTAATTAATCAGTTCCTATCATATTTAATTAATTATCATGTTATTTCCAAGCTTCTGGCATTCACCACATGTGCTCTTCTGCACTTGTGCAACCATGAAGCATTGCTATCATCAACAACAACATCATCATCATGTTCTTCATCATCATCATGTTCATTGCTATCATCAACAACAACATCATCATCATGTTCTTCATCATCATCATGTTCTTCTCCTGGACCATGATCATCGTCATCATTACCATCACCACCACTACCGCCATCTTCATCATAACAAGCATCACCGTAATCGTCATCATCATTTTCATCGTCATCATTTTCATCATTTAATTACTTGTAGAACCTGTGTTTCTAGGAATTGAGATAACAACACCCCCCTAATTATAAAAACATTTTCGAGTTTTTATTTAGGGCGAAGGGGGGGGGGGTGGGCCCCGACCCTTTAATATTAGGGGGAGGGGATTAATTCAGTTCTGGAAATGGCTCAAAATGTGTGTAATGGCACAGGTTGCTTTAACATGGCATGATTGTCGCGACGAGCTCCGCCACTAGCTGAGGCCACATACTTCAGATTTGTACGTAGATGTGTAGTACACTTAGGCTTTTAAAGTATAGGTCAGGTCTAACTGCACTTCCACAGGCCAACCGTCACACAGCATCAACATGCAGCAGCCCTGGACTTTTGGGCTGGGGGTTTGTGGAATCTATGGAATCTATGGACACTGTATCCAGGTTTCAATTCCACTGCATTTTTACGGACTAAGTAGCTGGCCTCCTCGGGTTTGGCGGTTGTGGCTGGCGGCAAAAGAGCTGTTTGAAAGGAATTTGCATACTTTGAGGCTTACGGGCTTCAAGCTTCAACAGTCACGAGGCTCACGTGTGGAGTTCAAGAGCTGTCACCTGCAATGTTTACACTACACTGTCTACAGTCTAGAATCTAGAACACTGTCAACACTCATGAATGCAGCGGCTTTAATCCTTGTTCTAACAGCCTTGGCCACTTTATCCGATGTTACCCAACCCACATGCAATCGGATCCTTGCGCATTGCCACAGTAGTCCTAGTAAGACTTTGTTTTGCCCAACACCCAATCATCCCAATGTCGTTTCTAAGACTTCGACTGTTGCAAAGTTTTGGGGGCTCGACACCGGATCGCACTCAATGCACTAAATGGCTGCATCATCAACAAACAGGCTGCTAGCTAGCAGTGGGTCATCCGACACACATGTGAACCGTTCAAGTGACACATCACCCCTTCACAATGCAACGCACCTCCACTTTGGCGGTCGCCAACATGCGCGGCACCAACTTGAACAACTTCGTCGCATCCTCCGGCTTCATGTCAACCCGGCTAAGCTGGGAGATGAGGGTCGCAAGCTCCTCGAGGGAAATGGTGTCCTTCTTGTGCAAGGCCTGCTCCAGGTTCACGAGCTCCACTGCCACCTGATGCTTTTCCTTCCAACGCTTCAGCTTGGAAATCGCGTCCAAGACACCCTCGCGAGCCTCGAAGTGCGGCAAGCCTGACGCGATCACCGCATAGAGGTCCAACTCCTCCGGGCCCGGGCTGGAGCACAAAATCAATGAGAAAGCTGACTTCAAGAGTGAATCCAGCATTGGCGTCTCCACTTTGTCCATCATGCCCTGCCTTACTTCGGCCTTCATGGCCGGGACTTCCTCCACCAAGATCTTGAGCTTCTCCTGGTCGAGACTGCCCGCGACCCAGTCTCTGAACGTCCGATAGCGAGGCAAATGCTTCATGGTCGCCACACCCGTCTTGATGATGTCATTGGCCACAGCGGCCCAGAATTCGGACTGCAAACTGTTCTTCACGCTGTTCTCAAGGAAATCGGTGCCACTGTAGTTTCGGATCTTCTGCAAGTCCTCCACCGTGGCGCCAAAGGTGTTGTCTGCCGACAACATGACACAGAATGCTTTGCAGATGGCCGAGATGGAGAGGCAAACGTTCTTCACGGGATCTGCCACACCACTGTCGTCCTGGCCCTGCAGCCACTCGGTGATCTTGGTCAGCAGGCCCTCAGTCAGACCCTTGAGCTCCTTCAGGTGCAAGCGGCCACCGTTCAGCAACCGGAAGAAACTGTCACAAGCAAAGCTTTCCCCGAGGGATTCCGCGATGACCTGGCAATTGCAAACATCGGGAAATCTCGGGTTCATGATTTTGCCAGAATGCATGTCTCTTGTGAAGATTTCAGGCTCCGACGTATCAAAGTCAAACGAGGAAGCTGCAGCTACAAAAAGACAGAACGCCATCGTCAAATAGGCATTTGTTTTGGAAAAGGGAACACTCCAAAAAACGATTCAATGCCTCCTACGTAATCAAATTTTAATTTTCAATCACTCTTCCCTCTTCTGGTTTTGCCTGGCTCTGCATGCATCATTTACTTGGGGAGCTGGGACCTACGACCTACGACTTCAGGACGCTTGGTCGTGGATTGATTCTATCTATGGACTTGGTTACCAGTTACTAGCAGTCAGCACCTATACACCGATGCCCCACCGTTGACCCTTATGGGCCATATGGTCAGCGTCATAGTCACCTACATGAACTCAAGACTGTAACCGACATGGTTTTGCACAGATGCTTCATATTCTGATTTTCTGGCAGGAAATGATGTCGCTGCAATGCTTTCATGATGACATCCAGGCATTCACTGACCATGATCTGAAAAACCTGCGAAGGTATCTTATCGGGACAGTCGAAGTGGCATGGATGGACAGTGTCCAACTCACACTACAAACTACATGGACGACTACTACTGACTGAGTACTTCGAGGGAGCCGCCATGGGGAGGACAGGATGCCCAAGAAATTATGTACAGACATGAGCAGCACCGTGCATGTGTGCATCGTGCATGTGTGCACCGTGCATGCGTGCAACTGTCAGCTAAGACTGCATCGCAAACAGACGCTCACACACACACACACACACACACACACACACACACACACACACACACACACACACACACACACACACGCGCGCACACACACACACACACCCCGCGACACACACTTGGAAGCGGTAAGTCGCACCGCACCGTCGGATGGCTTCTCATTACAATGTGCTTGCTTGCTTAGTTGTGGAGTGGGCCTGAAAGCACTGTCAGATTGCTGCAACCGTACATGTCATGTGAGCCTGCAAAGACTGCTGAGCTGAGCAATGGACCAATGTTGGATTGCACAGCGAGGATATCACAAGATGGCACCATACACAGCTTGTATTATGAAGATGTCACAAACTTATCAAATTCTGCTGCAGGTACAGGAACGTGATCAGCCTTCCTCTCCCATGTCACTGGTAGCTGGTAGCTTCGTTGGACACAGTCGCACAGTCCCAGTGGCATGCTGTGTCCCCCTGCAAATGGAAATGACATCAAACTTTGACAAAGCTGCAATCTGACACGACAATAAACAACATCTTGCAGCACGAAGACTGACGGCTACCAAGCGAGATCGGGTTATGAGCCCCTTGCTTGCCTCATGTACGAGAGACGTTCACACACACGCTGCCCCTGTTCAAGGGCGCATGCTGTCGGCTGCAAATTGCACTGCAATGTTACATAGAAGTGGCTTGTGTGCAATGTGCAATGACAGCAGGCAGAGCCTACAGATTTTTTCTAGGGCAGCATGCAGAGGATATCACGGTCAAGCTGCAAGCTCAAGGAAGGTTTGTAGCACAACTCTGTGGATCAAACCTGCAGGAGGTTTGTCAGCGACAAAGCAGTCAGCCTTTCAAAATGTATGTCAAAAGCTTTTCTATAGGTAGGTTTGCCTTTGAAGCAAATCAAGCTCGCGTATAAACCGCCATGCCATAATAGCAAACTAATCGCTGTCTGCGATATCTTGCTGGCTAGCTGGTAGCTGCTGGTTGCTCCAACTCGAGAAGCTGCAGAATATCTTCAATGTTGTCCGCCTTGCCCCCCTTACCCCTGCGTCCCTGCACTTGCAGACTCCGAATCCGCTCAGAGCTGAAACAACATCTACCCCACTAGTCACTAAGTCACTAAGTGCAGTCGACTCACTAGACACTCGAAACATTGCCGTGCCTCCATGGAAGCTGCCTCGTCATCCACGTCCGTGTTCCCGTCACCGAAAAGCTTGCTTCTCTCCAGAAGTGCCTGGAAGCCGGTCAGCAAGCCGTCGAATGTGGGCTCATTCCAATCGAAGGTGGCCGCCGAATTGGGAGTGAGGGCAATCTTTGCGATGATCCTCTCAACCTTGGCCTCCTTGGACTCCTTGGAGTTGGAGCTGGAGGCGGCACAGCTCTGCAACAAGTCCTCGAAAGCTGCTTCAACCTCGGCCACGGTGTGAGCACACTGCACTTGCACCGGCACGTCCCAGCTGACAGCCTTGATTGCCTCCAAGTGCATGAGCCTGTTGGCTTTGGTCATCCTTTTGACCTTGTCTAGGCCATCCTTGACGGACAAGAGGGTGGCTGCTTCGGCTGCGACCACGTAAGGTCGAAGGAGATGTTGGTTTTTGTCGCCTTCTTTCTCCATTTGCGTGAGCATCCGCCTCGCCTGCATCCGAAACTTGCTACCGCTAAACCGCCATACATAAGGCGTAAGCCGTAAGCCCAAACAGTCAGTGGATCATATTGCTTTGTCACTGTTACTGATACTGCTCATGTTGTCTAGCAGCTAGCAGATAGCAGATACCAGCAGCAGCAGTCTGGCCATGCATTGGCAAAAACGTTCAACACAGCGACGCAATCATTGAATTAGTTGTTGAATGAATTCACTTAAAAACTAATTGAATGATTGTGTCGCTATGTTGAACAGTTTTGCTATCTACATGATCCGAATCCAGAGGAGGGCGTGAGAAGGTCCCACCGCGTCCACCGAACGGCCGTTGGCGACGGTGAAGCACTCCGGGTTCAATTTCAAGAAGCACTCAGGAATCTTGTTGATGCGCTGCGCGATGCGAGCAAGGTTGCCGGCCAGCTTGCTCAAGTTCGCATCGTCCAACTGAAGCTCCTTCTCCTTGTCCTTCCCAGTCGTGCTGGACCGGCCACCTCGGCTGAGTCGGCTTGGGGACTCCTTGCGGGCTTTCGAGCCAGCTTTGGCTTTGGCTCCCCTTCCTTTCGGTTTTTTCTTGTCTTCCTCCTCAAGCGTCCCAAGGTTCATCTCCAATGAGCCCGACGCTTGTGCATCCGCATGCAGCTGCTTCAGCTGCTTCGCAGCTTCGTCCTCCTCGGACTCGCTCTCGACCACTGCATGTCCTCTCGGACTGCACTGCTACGCTGCACTCATGTGTTTGGGAGCACATGTTGGCTGAAAGCTTTTGGTAATTTTGGTATTCACAGAATCCTCCTAGGCATCTTTGATCTACCCGATGCAAAGGACCATGTTGCAACTGAGGTGTGGCTACCAGAACTGTTTTACACCTGTGTTGTGTGCTGCCTGTGGGACTGTGGGCAAATTACCAATTTCAATTTCGGAGCTTTGAAGTGCCCTGCAAGTTGCGAGTCATGGACTCCTAGCCTTTGCTTCTCGATTTAGCATGCTACCATACCGAAAACGAGTGTCCATAAAATTATGCCACCAAGCTCCACAACATGCCATACGAAACATCAGGATCGATGCCATAGGTTTCAAAAGACGTGGTACTGAAACCAAGCTCCACAGCATGCCAAACGAAACATCAGGATCTATGCCATAGGTTTCAAAGGAAATGCTATTGCATAAAACGAACAAGCAAAGCCAATCACACCACGGACCTGCGGCTTCATCGTTGGCCTTGCCCGCACCCAGCTCCTCTTTCCTGTGTTCTTTCACCTCCAGGGCTTTCTGCACGACATCAGTGTACCTGAGACCGCCGGACTTGCTCTTCAAAGCTGCTTCGCGCTTCTCCAGCTCTGTCTTTGTGATCCACTTCCATGTGTTTGTGTTGGGATCTGCCCCCGCCCACTAACAGTTGTCACAATTTGAACCACAACGAAAAGCACAAGAAAATCTAGTGGGTTCACCGGTTTTCCAAATATGAAAAATGGACAGCCAGGAGAGCTGAGTGTGAAACCTAAATCTTTGACAAAACAAGCCCCGAAACCATGCTTCCCCTCCCAGCAAAATCGAAATCTGCCGAACGCAAGGCCCAGAACAATTTTCGTTTCCAATTAGTCACTGGGCTGCAACCCTCAACCGAAACATTTCGTTCCATTCCCTCTACGCGCAGCCAGGGATGGCGGGGGGGCCTGGGTGGATGGATCGGACGTGGACCCAGGGGATGGGGCGATTCTGGGTGGTGAGGGCGGGAGGGAGAACGACTGATGCAGCTCCTAAGACCTGGCAGGGCCGTCCAGGGCCTCCCCAGGCCTGGCACCTTTTGACCAATTTAAAAGGCAATCCTGGGTTCTGCTGTAAATTGGAAGTTTTCGTCTAGTTTGTGCTGTTTCTTGTGCTCCAAATCGCAAAACAGTTGTGCGTTTCTTGTGCTGGATTTTGGAGTTTGTGGTCGGGCTTGTGCTCTGAGGTGCAAAACAGTTGTGCGTTTCTTGTGCTTTTTCTTGTGCTCTAGTTTGTGCTTTTTCTTGTGCTGGATTTTGGAGTTTGTGGTCGGGTTTGTGCTCACTTTGGCAAAACAGTTGTGCGTTTCTTGTGCTTTTTCTTGTGCTCTAGTTGGTGCTTTTTCTTGTGCTGGATTTTGGAGTTTGTGGTCGGGTTTGTGCTCTGGGTTGCAAAACAGTTGTGCGTTTCTTGTGCTTTTTCTTGTGCTCTAGTTTGTGCTTTTTTCAAATTAAAACTCAATAGGCTGCTTCCCGGGCCGCACTCGAGAGTCACCAGAATTTTCTAGTTTGTGCTTTTTCTTGTGCTGGATTTTGGAGTTTGTGGTCGGGCTTGTGCTCTGGGTTGCAAAACAGTTGTGCGTTTCTTGTGCTTTTTTTTGTGCTCTAGTTTGTGCTTTTTCTTGTGCTGGATTTTGGAGTTTGTGGTCGGGTTTGTGCTCACTTTAGCAAAACAGTTGTGGGTTTCTTGTCCTTTTTGTTGTGCTCTAGTTGGTGCTTTTTCTTGTGCTGGATTTTGGAGTTTGTGGTCGGGTTTGTGCTCCAGTTTAGCAAAACAGTTGTGCGTTTTTTGTGCTCACTTTTGCGTTCTAGTTTGAAGATTTTTGGGCAAACTGCTGGCCTGATCCAAATTTCAAGCAAAGTAGTTGTGCTTTTCTTGTGCTCCCTTTTGCAATCTAGTTTGCAGATTTGGCCTGGCCAGATAGCACCCTGGCCCTGCTGGCCTGGGGCCGGGCGCATTCCGAAACTCTCGTCGATTTTCTGCAGAAATCCTAAACCCTCCGAAAGCACCAAGCATCAATTCTTCAATCCTCCACTATTTGCCTTTGGGCTAATTACCGAATTGGAACTCTCGGTTCCCGAAATCAAAAACCTGCTGAACAGTTGGGGCCCCCAAGTTTTGGATACTGGATACTCCAAATGCCCAAACCTGGTCAACAGTTGGGGCCCCCAAAATCTGGAAACTCCAAATGCCAACCTTTGGAATCTAAAGCGAGGGCTCCCGAAACTCCCAAACCTGCTGAACAGTTGGGGCCCCCCAAAACTGGGAACTCCAGAGGCCTCCAAACAGTTGTGCTTTTTCTGGGGGTGTATATATAAGGAAAGTAGTTTCCCACTGTTACTGGGCGGGGGCAGATCCCAATGTTTGTGCCTTGTATCTGAGCAAGCTGGTTTTCCGGTTGCAGAAACAGCTCGTTGTGCTCTAGAATCTTGGAGCCGATGACTTTGACCCTCCGGCATGACCTCCACAGCTGCTCCGGCATGCCCACTGGGCTCATCAAGTACCCGAGCTGAGTCCCGCCGTTTTCAACTTTGAGCTCCACGGGCTTGTAGCCGCATGCGGAAGGGGTCATGTCTTTGCAGAGACTTGTCATTTCATCCTGATCCAAAAAGGCTAGTTTGTAGTACACTTGATACCCCTGCTGCTGACTGCGTTGAACAAGGCTCGGAGGATTCAGCTGGATCTGAGTCTCTTCTTCCACAACTTTAATGGCATTCTGGACGATCTGCTTGACTGCCGGATCCTGTTCCAGCTTGTCACACACCTTGGCCACGTCTTCCCCAGGATAGATGCGGACGATGATCTTTTTGTCCCGTCTGCAAAGAATCCCAACGGGTTTTCCTTGCTCGTCGTACAAGCCCCATGGAGTGTCCTGGAGTTCTGGTGGGCATCTTAACCTATGGGCTACAAAAGTCCGAAGCCCAAAAACTACGAAAACCCAAGTTGGCCCAAGTCCCAAGTACCCGGGCCGTCGGTTTGAGTCTCGCGACAACAAAATGATCATCACGGACACCGAACAACACCGTAACAGCAACAACAGCGAATGCACACAGCACATTTCTGGACCTGCAGAGCAAGATTAACACTGCATGCCTGCTCCTACGCAGCTATCAACGATAAGCTAGGCCAGCCTATAGGGCTATCGGCTATTAAATGGCTACTGTTATCAAGCGTGGAATGGAAGAGTCCGAGAGTCTCGAGCTGGAGCAGTCAAGCAAAGTGAAGTCAAAACCCTACATCCGAAATACTCATAGCAATCAGCTACGGGCCTGGGACTTGCGGCCACAGATGACACACGTCAGAATGATCATCACCTTCTGCTTCTTCAGACCAGGGGAAGGCCTCGAAGATGCAGGTATGCCGGCCGCGTCATCCTTCCAAGCATCCGGAAGCAGGTCCGAGTCCAGCTCCATCAAACCAGGCATCGGCTGAGCGT